GTCAAGCCCTTTGGATGTAGATTTAGAGGAAAGGGAAGGGAGTATGTCTAGTAATTGAAGGAGAGGGATTCAGAGGATAATAAAATGGGAGTATTGAACAAGCCATACATCAAGTAGCCCCTAAGGCAAATAGTCAAGCCATTTGGATGAAGAACATGTGGATAGGAAAAGGGAAGGAATTATGTTCAGTACTTGTAAGGGAGAGATTCACAAAGGAGATTCAAATGAAGTGCCGTTACCTGACCCTGCCACTCAGCGGTATTCACCAGGAGAACATTTTCAGGAATTTGATCATTTGAAGGAAAAGCTGTTGTCAGCTGGTCTGAGAGAGAACGCTTGGGAAGCTGAAAAATAAATAATACTTTATTTCTCAACTGGTAGTCACTCACATCCCATTCATAATTCCACTATTCATTTCTTTTTTAATTATCCATCCATGTTCCTATTCTTATGAATTGTCTTTCCATTTTTTAATATTCCCATACTTCAATTCCCATTTTATTCCCATTATTTACCTGCAATTCAATATCACTTTTTCTTCTTTTGTTCATATGTACTGCTATTAGTTCACTCTTGTCTCTTTCTTTAAATGAGGTGCTCCTTTTCAAGGGTGCTTCAAGTTCCCCTGTAGTAGGATCTGACGTACTGGTGTTGTCTGAATGTGTATCCATCTCTGATGGTGGGCTCAAAGTATCCTAACATTTGAAAAAATGACGACATTTACTATCAACAACCTCTTGGTTGATCTAAGTCAGGAAGTGGCTAGCTCATAGATTGAACCCAGAAACAACCTCTCGGTTGATCTAAGTCAGGAAGCAGCTAACTCATAGATTGAAACCTGAAACGACCTTTGGGCTTTCAAAGTCATGGAATAGCTAACTCACAGGTTGAACCCTGAAACAACCTCTGGGCTGATCTAAGTCAGGACATGGCTAACTTACAGGTTGAACCCTGAAACAACCTCTGGGCTTATCAAAGTCAGGACAAGGCTAACTCACAGATCATGAAGAAAGATAAAAAGTATTTGGTGATAAGGAAAGGGTATTGGATGGAAAATGACTGTATTACTCACAATGTTGCATTCAGTTTCCGTGGAAGTGTGACGTTCATCATTATCTGAATGGGACATGCTCTGTACAGTTGGCTCATCTTCTTCATTAATCTTGAAACCAGCAAGGTCGACAACAATAAACATTTAATCTTAACTCTATACATTATTCTCATTGATAGTAAGATAGACAAAAAAAAAGGTAGACAAGATGGATGTAAGCAGGGTGGATAGGTGGGAAAATGGACAGATAGGATGAATCTGAAAAATGGATGGATGCATGGAAAGCTGCATTTGTGGATATATAGATGGATGAGATGAAAGGATGGATGGATGGATGAGATAAATGGATAGATGGATGAGATGAATGGATGGATGGATGGATGTGTAGGAAAGATGGATGAATGGGATGCATGGATGGAAGGATGGATGAATGGGGAGAATGGATGGATGGAATGGATGCATGGATGGGATTAGATGGATAGATAGATAGATAGACAGATAGATGAATATACAGGATTAATACGTCAAAAATATTCTGTACCTTTGCTTGCGCAGGGACAATTTCACAAGAGCTTCTCATGTCAAAGAAAGGTCTAAAAACAAAAACCGGATCAGCAATTCAGCACCCAAGTATATTCTGAGTGCCAAAGCCTTACTGTAACCCTACATTTAATGAATTATAAATTATATTAATATAAATATTGTTCAGTAATACCTTAGTGAAGGTTTTGGCGTGGATGATATAGACACATTGTCTTGGTCCAAAAAATCAGCTTCAAAGTCACTCTCGTCATCCAAATCATCAGTTCCGAACAAGAAATCATCTGTTATCATTTCATTTTCAGGAGGGCTCATGTCGATATCAAGGTACTGGTCAGTGGAGCTTTCTAGTTCTTCATCAGCTACCTTGAATTTCTTTAGCAGTGCAATGAACTTTTTCTTGAAGTTGCTCTGGTGCTAATGGATGAATGGACATTGTTAAGGCCGGTTTAGATGGTACGATTTTCACCTACAACTATCGTATACAACATGCTCATGTCTGTCGTAGGCGAGTTGTAGGCTTGATTTACACGCTACGACTCAAGTTGTAGGATGGCGCGAGCTTGTTGTATACGATAGTTGTAGGCGAAAATCGTACCGTCTAAACCACCCTTTATGCATATTATTATTTCTACCATGTTGACAATTACTATGATGATGGTAATGGTGATAAATGATGATGAGGATGACAATGACACTGATGACGACAAAGACAGCAATGACAATAAAGATGATGATGATGACAATGAAGATCATAATGATAATGATGATTGATTGATCAAAAGATAACTTTAAAGGTACTGCTACACCAAAAAGTTTCATGACAATTTGCAATTTATTTTGGCAAAATATTTCATGGAGAATTAGAGATGGTCCATTTAACTATTACCTTGGCCTGCAGCTCTATTTTGCCGTGTCTTAACTTTCTGCCTCTTCTAGGATCATCTTCAATCATGTCCTTGAAAAAATAATCATCACTTTTCATCAAATAATAATATATTCAAATGTTTTTCACCATATCCACTGTCAACCATCATTAATTTGTCAGTAATGTCTGACTATTTACTACTTCTGTAAATCAATCAGCACTCGGCTGTTATAGACAAATATATAACATGCCCCACTTACTGGATCACCACCACTATCACTAGCCTCCTGGTCAGACATAGAATAGTCATCTTCATCATCAGAAGACTCTCCTTCTCTGTCATCTATGACAATAACATTTCCACTATCAGTTTTTGCTAATCATGTACTTTGTGATCAGCCAACACATGTTGGTTGACTGTTGCCGGACTGTTGACCATGCATTAGTCATGTGTTGGTAGTGCATTGACCAACTATCAGCCCACACACCGCTAACTTACAGCTACCAGCCCAACCAACAATTCACAGCCAGCACTGAGACTTTTTTGAGCCTTGTTGTGGGCAGATGCATGATACATCAAAGAGGCAAGAGGCATTTTAATGTACTAAGTACCCTACCGCTGTTTCTTTTTTGGATAGTTTTTTTAATCAAACCATGTCAAATACAGTAGTACCATTACAGGTAGTCCAGACACACTGTACAATGCACATACAGTACTCACATGGTCCTCCTGGCCTGGAAGTATTTCTGTCAACATCTGTATCAACTGGTTGACTGTTTAAAAAAATGCGATATTAAAAATACAACAGAATTTTAGCATTGGATATACAACAGCTTTCCTGCATTCTGATTGGCTGTATTTTCAATGGTATGGCTGATAATGCACTATTATTATGTACCTTGTTAAGGAGCTGACAGTAAACCTCGCAACAGGAGAGGAGCTTCCTTTGGCATACAATTTGAGCTGATTATCCATGTTGAACTGAAGAACCTACATCCCATAGAGAAAAGTAAAAACATTTTATGCTTATATACATACATATGTTTACACAGAATGCCAAAACAATGTCTAGGTTGATGTACTACTAACTTCCAGATTGGATTGGAATTTGTGTTCAATTTTTGCAGAAAATTCTTAAAATCAAGGAAGAGACCTAACAAGCTCTACTCCAATGTGATGCCGAGCCAAAAAATCAAACTCAAGACCCCAGAGACCGTGAGAGGTGAGTGCACTACCACTATGTACTATGGTACAGTATGTCACCCTTGATTCTATATAATGTCTGACATTACAAGGAAATACAACTACATACCTGCCCCATGTTGACAACACCAACAGCCAGCGTCTTGAATCCCAGGATAGTTCTGTTTTTGTATCGTTTTCTTCTCTGCAGCATTATCTGAAGGTTATTGCCATTTCTTTTAAGAAAATGAGGGTACTGAAGAAAAAAACAAATTAAAGATAATTAAATTAAATAAATCAAATTGATTAAAATAAAAAAATTTAATTAAAATGAATTAAAGATGATTAATAGAACAGCGAGGGAAAGTACCATCCAAAGCATGCTACATTACAATTTTTCTCACCCTTTAGTGGGTGCACACATTTGGGACACTTTGACCACACCCATCTAATGCTTGTATGTCTATCTATATCTTTGCTCACATGTTCAAAGTTTAACCTTCAAATTTTCAAATTTTTTTTAACCCTGAGACATTTAGGTGATTAGTCTGGCCATCATTAACTCACATTATCAAACTCATTAATAATTCATGGTGAAAACACAACAGAAATAATCACGACCATGAAAAATTTTGTAAATCAGATACAGAATCATGTTGATTTGCATAAACTTTAACTTGGATTTTCTTGGGCAGATTCACTTTTATCTTGAAAATTTTAGTGATATACAGTATTTGTGTCCGTGTTGTATCCAACACGCCTTGAGTTTGTATATCGGATACATCATGGCCACTCATACTGTATATATTACTATGAGTTGAGAGGTACTGTAGTTTACTTGAGTTTGTGGATGGAGAAAAACCAGAAAACCTGGCTCAGAAAAACCCTCTAATCAAAGGGAGAGACTTAACTTAAAGCTCTACTGAATTAGTAATATTTAAAAATCTAAATTCATAAATTAATAAATTACGGTCAGATCTAGAAGTTGTCAAAATAATGAAGCAGCTCAAACTCACCTGTAATGAAAAGGCTAGATCCAGTTCTGTGTCAATTAGACCTGACTTGCGCAGGATTATTTCATTTGATCTTAAAGTCCGCCGAGAGCCCTGTAAATAATAAATAGAAATATTATAATAAATAAATAAAAACACATTATTTATATTTATTATTTTTATTATTCTAATATTTTGATAGGATCTTCTTATTTTCAGATCAATTTCCAATTTTCTTAATCTCAGATAATTATCCCAAAACAATAATTATATATTATGGTATTTTTATTAATAACTTTTCTATTACCTGCATTGAAACAGATATAATGACTTCCGTGAGGTTAGCCTCTAGGCATTTGATAACTTCCAGCCGAGTTAACTTCAGATTGCAGATTCTATGGATTCAATAGAACAAGGTATATCAACTAACTAGCCTCCTCCACCCAAACAAAAAACAAAAAACCTTGTCATAGCTTATCACCACCCCAAGTACAGCACTAGTGGCTCAACTAAAAGCACTTCCCAAGGGTGAAGTGGAGGGACACATTATACCATCTAATATGCAAAGCCATAAATTGCCAATTAGCAGATATTGGAGATACACTCTATTGCCTTCAAACAATTGTTACATTTGGGTCAGTTTCTATACATTTCATTGTATTGACCCAAGTGCCCTGACTCAAAACAATTGTTCGAAGGCAACAGAGTGTAACTCTGATATCTGCTATTAGATGCACAACACAATGGCTTTATACATGTTCATGCAACTAGCAAGATATATATTGGCAAGGCTTAAAAATGATGTCCAGACATCGCTGGACATGATAAACGACCAACTTAGTTTTAGTTAGAAAAAGATTTGTCCAGACAAGTTCTACTTCCGGCTGGTCATTGCCCAAATACAAGCCATTATTTTAAGCCCTGTATTATCATTATACTTAAATATGAGTTAATTTCATTTCAGGCTGTACTTATAATGAATATTAATGATTGTGTCAAGGTCACCCTCTATACCCAATTAAGGATTTTTGATCCCACTATAGAAGATCTAAAACCAAATTAAAGCAAAGATTAATCTTATTGATCCCTGAAACAGCCTCTGGGCTGATTTGGGCCACGATACTGTAATTTCTGGAATATGACATGATCAGCCCATGCAATCAGTCTGCTAAAAACAATAGTAGGGAAGTTGCAATCACTATCTTTAGAAATATCTATCACTGCACTGGCCACAGCAATTCAGCTCTTTGGAATCATTAATAATTTTTCTATCTTTAGAAATATCTAATTACAGTACTGGCCACAGCATTCAGCTTTTTTGAATCAGTATTAATTTTTGGGCCAGTTGAAATAACTTTAACAATGCTTTGATGTTTTTAATTCTAATTTCAAGAGGAAGTATTCAAAATGAAAAAATTCTTCCAACAAACAAAAAATAATGCTAATGAATACTTGTTATTTCAATCTTTGAAAACTAATATTAATGAAGGGAAAGGAAAAAACAATTAACCTTTAAGTGTTTTTTTATGCCAAAAGTCCTAAAGCTTATGATCCAAAATAAGGAACATTTAAAAATACAATCCATTTCCCAGTAGACAAAAGAACAGACAAATTTGTCAGCTGTATTTTGAAAACAAAATATGTAAATTTCTTAAATGGACAATTTATCTTACTAATCTTAACAAAAAATGTTCTTAAAAAAGAACATGGAAGTTATTATTATGCAAGGATATGTGACCTTAAGATGATAACTTAATCCATGTTGTCCACCCTCGTTAAAACCAATACATTTAGAGATAATGGTTCCAATTTATTTAACTCTGCAGGATAATATGAAATTACAGATTGTCAACTGAGACTTCCCAAAGTTTGTTTTGATACAAAAATTATGTCAGTGATTTTGATGTTCAAAGAGTACAAGCTTGAAAGATGTTTATTTTAGACTATTATACATTTTTTATAATTCCATAAAAAATATTTTCGTTTCAGATATGAATATTTAGGTCGTCCCCACTGGTTCTTATTGACAGATAACATCAAAACCTCAAACCTTACAAAACCTCAGTGTCTAAAAAAATGACAAACACAGATTGCAAAGAAAAAATGTCAACACAAGAACAATAAATTCTAATAGTTTTTTACACATGTATGTTGGGGAGTCAATCTAGAAAACAATAATCATTATAACTGTGATTTATAAATTGAATTTATAGAGTGGCTATGCCTATTGGTCAAGACTAAATGACTGAATTTTCAGCAATAAATATTATTGAACTTTATCAAAAACTAAGAAATAAGATTAACACAAAGTTATCTTTGTTTAATATTTAATAGTTTATGTAAGATTGACAAATAATTTGTAGATGTAATAATTGTTTCTCTAACCATGTCTAATGTTATGATTCATAGTAATTATTATTATAACCTGGAGACCTATAGTATGCAGACTATGGCATCTAGGATTCAATAACATAAGGATGTCTCACATTTTTGTAAATAAAACATAAATTGTATGGAATTCATAAATTTTGTATCGCTAGTAGCACGGATTAAGGTGAAGGTTAAGATGACAATTTGAAGATATGAAGTCGATACCCTGACGCTGATGTTTACATTCAAGGAAAACGGATGTGTTACCTCAAGCATTAAATTTTTCTACACATTAAGCGTTAGTCACCATTTACATCCATTTAAGTCCAGTCTTGTAATCTAGCAAAACTAACTTACATACCTTGACAATTGGGCTTAACAAAGGAATTAGAAAATATGAATTTTTGATCATTTCTTCTCAATTGAATTACAAATTTGGCACATTTTGCTAATTTTCAGCATCATGTTTGTATTATTTACTTTTGAAAAAATTATTTTAAGATCTTGAAATTTTTAGGATCGATTGCTATAATGTCTAATTGTATATCAAAATGAATATTTGAATGACAGACAAGCCTGATCGTTTTGGGCCAAAAAAATATTATAATTTACAGCAATAAGATAACTAAAGCTTAGACGTAAAATAATCAAATGAATATATGTTTCGACTAGTTTTGAACAAAATAAACACGAACAGTAAGTTGAAACCTTTCATGCAATTAATATTTCCGAGTTCCTGGATATTCCGTGAATTACTCACTAGAAAAAAAGGAGTCGTTGGTGTTAAAAACGCAGATCGCACTTATAAATGAGCAGAAAGAAGCTGAGAAAAAAATATAATTAGATTTTTTTTTGGAAAATTTTTGTTTGTATCGCGATTGTTTTTGTGTAGCGACATTGCGACTTTAAATATGTGGTTGAATCGGAGTTCAAGAAAAATAACGTAAAGCCTTAAGGATGATTGGTAATCAAGCAGATCAAAACACTAGAAGATCGTACAATAAATGACAATTTTGACATTAATAAAAACAATCGAATGGAGAAGAAGAGCAAAGGTTACAAGGCTCTAAACCACAAGGAAAGAATATCTTAGAACGAGGAAATATTTTTCAGCATTGAGAAGGAAAACGCTAGAAAAGATGAATAGGAGGGGTCATTTTTAGCTGTTATCTTTGATTAGCATACAGGGAATTAATTTTAATGAACAGAATTTCTTCCGCACGATCTTTGAACGCAAAAATACAAGTTCCTTAATAACTCAATTGTGAGTCATGCTACGGTTCATTTGACTGGAATAGTGGTTGAATTGTACTGATCTAACACTGTACATAAGAGTTAGGATACATGCCGTTTGAATTCTTAGAGTACAAGAAAAAGAAAATAGAAGGTAAGAGAGCTACACGACCTCAAAGTGGTCTTCAATTCAAAGCCAGTTTGTCGTGTTGCTCTCGTCTTGTACTCACGATTGAAGCTTTTTCCGACAGATTAAAACTAATACAAATGACAAAAAGAATCCTCACCTTGGGATACAATTGGGGGATGTCCTTTCTACTTCCCATGTGGCAAAAAATTTCATAGGAACAGGCCTTTCAGGATTGAGAGAGACTGAGATTTCGCGACCATCAGTTCGGCTCTTGCCCTGATCCGCCATTTTGATTTGAAATGTTTTGGCCAAGTACGCATGCGCTATTTATTACACTTCCGGTCACCTACTTTACTAATGGGAAAAAACGACACAAAAAATGACAAATTATCAACAAGAAAACGCTAAGATCTTATTTTCTAGCGCGAAATAATCCGGAATTTAATTATGTTATGTCTTTTTAAACTAATTTGTCGAGGTATATTCATCGTGACTTTATACATGTGTCTGGAATATCAAGGCAAAGCAAAATGGGCATGTACGTGATGTGAAGGTGTAGAACGCGTATCATCCTTTTCTCATGTTTAGTTTTCAGAGCAAGGGATTAAAATAGATGAAAATCTATCTAGTTTAGGTCAAGTTTCAAGTCATTTCTTGCCTGAACTTATATGTATTTAGAAATACTTGCGATAAAGTAGTCACGTGGGTATTCATCGGTATTTTAGTCACTATGATCATTCCCACCCTCGGGTGACGGTCCACCGGCTCACAGGACTGGATCAGCAAGTGTAGATCAACAAGAAAAGAATTAGTAGGCAAATATATTATGTGACGTATGTACAGACTACAAACTGATGCGTGGGAGTTTATGCTCTCTTGCTTTCACTGAATATGAATATTAAACTACAGTGGAAAACGACAAGGTGGCATTAGAAATAATCAATGGATTTTATTTTTCTCTAATTCACTCATAAAAAAGGCGATTATTATATTGAAAATCGAGGAACTTTCCAATTAGTTTTTCCCCTCGACACACAAGAAAAGTTATGGCTAAAGTCTTGCTGTCTGTCTTCGTTGGATATGGCGATTGTATCTTCTGTCTTTGTCTTCAAAGGATAGTCTTTTTTCCTTTTTCCCTAGGCTGCGTTCATTAAAATTACCGTGGAATAACACTCCTTTCTGCAATTGGCAAAGTTTTTACGGCAATACTTAACAAACGGCTCTATGATTACCTAACTACGAATAATATAATTAAACAGGAACAGGGTGGGTTTAGAAAAAAGCACGGAACAACAGATAGTATT